AGTTACATCTCTCCTTTTCGGAGTTTCTTTGTTCGATGCTTGGCCAATAATATTTTCTACCAAGTGATCGAATATTTGTTCGGGTCTCACAGACTCGACATTGTACACGGAGCGTTAAACCAAGGTAGATATCTCAATTCTTTTTGTTGCTCTTAAAAGCACCTGGAGAGCATTAAATTGGGTCGTGTATATTTCTTAGCTTGGCTGTTTATTCGAGCAGTGGGGATGCTAGGTTGACATAAGCAAACATCTTCGTATTTTCAAACTTGAATTTCTCCTAAATTTGCTCGAATTGTAATCAGGCATGCGGCACAAAATTAGCGCGTCATAAATCATGAGCCCTGGTACCTTTGGGCGTTCACATTAACGACTTGGTTCAAATTATTGACTTGATGAGATATTTTTTTAGGTCAAGAACGATTCGCACGGCCTCCCTCCGACGCGATAAGATTATGCACCCTTCGTCCGATTCGCGATTCCTGTAGTCACTCGGCAGCTCCTCGCGGTTCCATTATTTTCACGGAAGAAAGAGTCCTTCTCGTTGTTGATTTATTGTCGTTCCGACGGCAATGATTATCGTCGACAACGATACGTTCAGGCCGGTTGCGCGCGGCAATTAATAGGCACAGTGCTCACGCCGACGCAGCATTTGCCCCGGTTTTGTCGACATTGTCAAACAGATGCGCTCGCGGGGAAAACATGTTAACGCGATGCACATTTCGATATGAAAATATGCATAGGCAAAGCTAACGAGCAAACTGCGTTCTATATAGTCGTTTACAAACGTCAATCATCAATTGCGCGTCAAAACTGTAGTACAAACTGTGAAACAACAGGTCTGTTCTATTTAGTTGAACTGATGCGCACTGGTGCAATAAGTTACAATGAGATAGATATATGTTGTTTCATTTTAACTTATTGTACCAGTGTGCATCAGTTCAGCTAAAAAGACCTAAAGTCAAATTCGCGAAAACACATATGTGACGGTAGCGCGACGCGCTTTTCCATGTGAAAATTCCACGAATGTGCCAAAAATCAAAGCGATTTGTGCCTCGCAGTACTGTGCGGATGCCAATCGTAGCGCGTGCCAGAAATTAATAATATCAATGGAAACAACGTCAAATTTATAACGTGGAAACCAAAAAATTCAAAAAGAATTCGTGAATCGGCAACTCTTTTATTTGCTCTGATATCGTTATAATATTAATCTATATATAATATTATTATCCTATATTCGCGCAACATTTTTGTAATTCATATAGTAAAAGCTCTCTGTTTCCATATTGGAGCATTTTCTGTTATCTCTCTACACAAGGAGAATATTATAACATTTTCATATATATAAATTCTTTTCAATTCTGCTATGTTCCCTAGTATTGCAGAGATAGACTATCAGTAAAATTTATCTCGTCAGGGAACATAAAAAATTTTATTAGATTTAGATATTTTTTTTTCTCAATCTCTATACAATACAATCTAGGTCTATAAAATACAATCTAGGTCTGTCAGAGATCTTCGTAATTTCGAAATGCCATACCTTTGTTGCAAATCAATATTTTTCAATATATTTCTTTTCCAGAGATACACAGAAAAGTCTCGACTGGCAGAGTAACGCGATGAAATAAAAATCCGACAATATGAGCGCACAGCAGTCAGTTACAGTGCACGATCGGATGATGAATTCTTGGCCGATGTTCGACAGTCGCAAATCGGCCAAGCGTTGGCTCTGTCATAACGTCTACTTTGAATATAGGTTATTGCTTTTGCATACGGTGATGTCAGAGGCACAAGTGGTATTTCTTTTTAATGCCGGGGTATACTCATGGGTGCGTTTATTGACGTGACTCAGGTGCAGGCCGCCGCCTCTCCTGCACGTGCAGCGTCGCTAAGAAGCGCGATAATACACGTCGCGCGGGCGGAACGCGTACAGGTGACGACCGATGGGTGACGAGCCTCGACGAGCGCCCGTAATAATAAAAGCCGGTGACCCGATATTTGCATAAGAGCGGCGCGCGTGTACGCTCCACGTATGTATGCTCCGCGGCGCTTTTCCAGCGTATCCGAGCGCAATCGGAAGCCGATCGAGAACCGCTCTAGTTGCACACGCAGCTTATCCGAGTAGGGTCCACCTGCTGCGCGCGAATACACCGAAGCGCCAACGTACCTTTTTGCAGCTGTGAATCTATTTCCGAAACTATTTTGACACGTGTACATCTCCTCCTCCTTCTCCTCCTACTCGACGAGAACGATTATTGTATCGTCGGATAATCCATCGCGTCGCGAAGCGACGGATGGAATGAGGAACCTTGCACATTTGATTTAACGCAGGGATCCTAACGAGATTTCTGTGTAAGGTGCAATTACTGAGGATGTTTTACGTCGCGTCGTCGTAAAAGAAGAATATACGTTCATATATGGAGCGCCGCGGCGCCAGGCGCCACTCGTCTCCTGGCGAGATGCCAACATTATGGATTGCGGGATAACCCCAGAGCTGTTTCCCAATATCTTTCTCTCTCTCTCTCTTTCTTCACTTTTCTCTCTTTTTCCTCTCTCTCTCTCCCTCTTTTGTACTCCTCCTCCTTCCCGCGGTTAACAAGAGGATCGACCTTGTACTTGATTCCGCCATTGTCCGGCTTATTTTGAGAGATTGTTAAAGACTTTCCGGGAAACACGGAAATGACGCACGTCTTCCGCCAGGAAAAGAATTCGCGAGTACATATAGGCAATACAAATGTCCCAATATGGAAGCAGAGAGAGAAAGAGAGACCCAGATAGAAAGATGTATGTAAATGTTGCAGTAACTTTACGGTGCGTAGAATCACGCAATGCATAAAGGTTACATCCTTTATGAGCCTATCACATGTTAGTCATATGTACAACGTATAATGACGAAATAGAAATACGAAAAAAATCTAAATTTTTACTTAAAACAATGTGTCATTCAGTTTACTGGCAAATACAGACATATTTTGGTAATTAGTTTTCTTACTCAATATAGAACAATATAGAACAACTTGATGTAAAGTTTACATCGTGTCCATAAAATTATTTCTTTTTTTAGATTTAGCATATTTATATCATATAGACATCATGCTTTGATTATTATATATACAGTATGCTGCCTCGCTCAAGGAGTTAGGATCTCCTATTTTATCGATCATTGTTTCAAGAATCGAAGTTTCGAATCCCAAACAGGAATCGATGTATTAAAATTGATATCTGTGTATTTCATATTGACATAACGTTTACTTTCTTTTATGCGACACAAACAATGGTTTATATTCAATTATATTTACCGCATACAATTACCTCACACATTGATTACAAAATCCCATCACGAATTGAGATAAAATATTTCATTAAATATGATTTAAAATTTTCAATGGTACAATCTCATAAATATTACATGACAAATTGCAGACAACTTTTAGTTAATTCATTGCTGCATGAACATAACAAAAAATTGTAATCATCGCATGATATAAATGTAATGCTTCATTTAATGTAAGTATATGTGTCTCCATATATATAATAAATATTTTGTAAAGTTATCATAAATCGATTACCGCACGTCGATCACGAAAGTCTATCTGGAGAGAGAGAGAAAGAGTGTGTGTTTCGGGGATTTTTATCGTAAAAAAATGCGGAATTTCGCATGAATACACTAACATTATAAGAACTATTATTGTGAGATAATGTTATAGCAAATAAGCGTTTTGTTACGAATTCGAAAATTCTCTTTTTATAAAAGTTTGCAAAGCTGATGTGAGCGTGACAGATTGAAGATGATAAATTATTTTGTAACTTAGAGACTCGGATAATTCGTCGAAATCGTCTTCACTGTAACTCATTCGAATGTCGCGACTCTCGTAATTAATTTCCCTTGAAATTTCAGGCAAAGAAAAATTTTAGAAAGAGTGAGAGAGAGATTCATTCCCAATGAATCATGATTCTTAACAATCATGTTTACTGTTTCGTTGCCAATTCTTCTCGAAATTGCTTTTGTACAGAACTTTAAACTCGTTTTAAGGGAAATGCAAGCGGAGATCGGCGATGACGTCCGATGGGAAGTCCGAATTGGGTTCGATCGATCCCGCTTTTTAAGTTTAAAGTGGAAAATGTGGAAAAGTCGTTAGAAATTAAATTTGCGACTTCAGCACTCACGGAGAGTGCACGGTTCGAAAAGTTAAGCTGAGAAAGAGCTGTCGAACCAGTTCAAGATTACATTTCGTGAAGTTCGAAGCACTTCCCGCGTACGCTTTTTGGCAAGATCTCACATAGAAGATCACGTCTACGTAACATCTACTACATATTACATCTACATCTATTACGTATGTCTACATAAACATTGCTGCGTAATACAACGCGATGTCCTTCGCGCATTTTTTATCTCCTATTGTAAATGAACAATTATACAATATTGCTTAATACACAAAACAAGGCGAACGATAAGCGAGCGAGTTGGAAATAGCGGCGTTTGGAGCTGCGCACGACGAAATCGATCATATTTATTTGGCCACTCTCTTAAATTGGTTCGATTGCGAAGGACAGTAGCCACAGATGTAAAGGCCATCAGAAATCGTTCATTATACAACAGATTAAAAATCTCACTGAAGATTAGATTAAATACAAGTTTCAACTGAAGAGAGATAGAAGATAATGCAAACGCTTGAGCGCTTGAGAAGCACAGTCTCCTGAAATTAAATGAAATTTCGGGAAATCTTGGAACTCACGTGACAGTTGATCGTGAAAGTTCGCGATCAAGTTCGCGCCAAACGTTAACGATCGTTCTGCAATCTTTGACATCGCTGATCGTCGCGATACGGACTTAAACTTCGTCTCGAAGGACAAATATTACGAAAACCAAATGTTTTTGCACAAAACGCGAAAATGCAACCTAATACCTCACACACGTCACGCATACATACGCGAGCGATAGAGGCAAGTAATGGTTTCGCATTATAATTATCGGCGATGTTATAAATGCGCCGAGTACGCGCGCACCGTCCATTAGTGCGATACGTTGTCGCGCTCGTGCATGTTTGCAATATTCGCGAGAACAGCGAGGAACATGGGCCTATACAAGAGCATGAATATATGTTCGCTGGTGATGCTGCTGCTGCTGTGTGCGACTTTTACAGTCAGTACTCAGGCCGGTAAGTTCGACGAAAATAAACAGTATATTGAGAAAAAAAATACGTGAAAATGTATTCTTGTGGGATAAAAATTGATATTTCGCAGGAATCAGCTATATATATATATATATATATATATATATATATATATATATATATATATATATATA